CATAACAGCTCTAAGAGTCAATGTCCATTCCATTTAATGATTTTGGGGTAAGTAGGATGATTACTGCCAGGACAGCCTAGTGGCGGGATTTAGAGTCCTGAAGTTAGATGGAGACTGGAAATAAGTAGTGGTCTAAGAGTAATGGGTGGCTACTTCGTTCTACTTGTCTAGAAGATGGCTCTTGTATGACGGTAGAATCTTTCCATAGAGGACAGGTAAGATATCTGTGTTGGGCTAGATCTAGGGCTCTGTATGTTTTAATCCATCTGTGAGCATCTATGGCTATATAAGACTCCAATGTCAATCATGTTTAATTCTGGTTAAACAGCAGGTGTATCGATATGTAAGTGTACATTCACCACATCTCGGCATCCAGTTGGGGAACTTTCAAAAGAAATGTATTTATCATGTAAGAGCCAATGACTACAACTTCCGGTAACTTGCAGTCAACTTTTGTAGGGCTAGCCCTGCTCAATTCAACTAGTCTTAAGGGTTTGTACATGATCTCAGCAGTATTCCTGCCCAGAGCAGGGGAGTTGGACTTGATGATCTTTTGTGTTCCCTTCCAGCCCTTAATTTGTATGGTTGTATGATTCTACAGTGTCCAAAATGATATGTGCTGCAGACATTAAAAACTTTTGCTGCATTAGCTGCATTGTCTTAGTGTACCATGTGGATACTGTCTTTGGCAGCTGGCCCAGAAATGCCACTGAAAAGGCAGTGCTCAAATATTTGCTACTGAAAGCCATGCAGTGTAAACTACTGTTCTTCTCGTAAGCTCCTTGTTTGTTTAATACACAAAACATTTAAAGAGTTGCTATGTCCCCAAAGTCAATAAGCCACGATTGGGATTTGGGGTCAGAATTGTTGCTTGCTGCCAACCTTTTGTCAGGGATAACTTTGCTTTTCCTGGCAAATGACACTGGTGGAAAGGAAGCTGTTAATGAGTCTCCAATCAGCAAGGAACATGCACAGCTTAAATCATATACAACTGAGGCACTCTGGCCTGGAATAGCTGTGTAGTCTAGTGAAGAAGACAGAGCATTTGATCTCATGAAATCCTTCTTCTATTTCTGGTCTGTTACTGAAGTGGTGGGTCACTTCATCTGTGTCTGTTCCCTCCTGCCCTTTGTCTTATCTATTTGAACTCTTAGCTATTAGGGGCATGGACTGCCTATTATTTATGTGTTTGGACAGCACCTAACACAATGGGGTCCTGAGCTGATTTGAGACCTTATAAGGCCTACTGGAATAATAGTAATAGTCTCTACCTAGTGCAGTTGGAACCTTTTTTTTTGCCTCAGGGGAAGTAATTAATTTGTGTTTCTCTTAGTTGTGGTAGGCGGAGGGTGGATTATTATGAAGACATACAGCTCCCTGTCACTCTGATACTTGCTCGTGTTCACCTTGCTTGATTCCAACATGTTTTTGTGCATGGCTATGGTAGAGCAGCTAAACGCTGCTTTGCCCTGAGGGATTGTACTTATGTTTTCTGCTCAGTCAGCTATTAGAGATGCTAGAGTCAGAAAATAAAGAAAAAATTGCAAACAGCATTCCTTCCTCTATATGAAAACTCACCTGTGTTTTTGTACAGAGACCACTGCATTATGGAAGATGAGCATGGGACTTTGTTAACAGACTATTCAATGTTGGCTTAAATTCTCTTATGATGAAATCACTGGGACTTTTGCTACTTATTTTAATGGCAGCACAGTTTGGCTGGCACTAAGCACTTTTGACAATCCCACTCTACAATTCTATTTTGGGGCTCCTGTTTTTGCGAACATTTACCTGAAAGCCTTAAGAATCTTAGCGACACTGAATGCTTTCACTGCGAGTTAATTCCTAGCACAAATCAAATCGAAACTGTGAACATGAACTTTTACTGTATCTCAGAGAAATCCATATTTGGAGTTATGTAGGTTATAAATGAAGTCATTATATTCTTTTGGCAGACATGACTACCGTTTCGTTCCAATGAAGTCCCCACCCACATACAGTTGCATACACAAATGCACACCTACATCCCTTCCAAAATAAGCATGGTGTTTTATGAAGTCCGTATTTGGTGACAATCAGGGCATACTTTAAAAGACATCTGTTCAACTGAGTTTTTGGAGAGGGCTAAGGAAATGCTTCTTAAATTACAAAGGGGCCAAAAGTATTCTTAATACGTGATCTGTTGGTTAATCTTTTATCATGATTAAAATGTAGGTGTTTAATTGAAGCGGCATTAAGCTACCTTGAAATGTAGCTAGGGGTCCAGTTAGTTACTATGTTTATAAGTTATAACTGTCTATTTAAATGTAAATGAAATAGTTAACCCATTGCAAATAAATCTGAGGCTTGCAATATTTGATAGTTTTTCTTAAATTCCAGGCTCCTGGATTCATTTGGTTTTACAAAAATCTCAGTTTATGGTGATTTTTTGGGTTGCTGATGTTGGGTTTTTTACTTTGTTTGGCTTTCGTATTTGTTTTAAATAAGCCACTTCATCAAGGATGGGATGAAATGCTTAAAAATGTAACTCCTGAAAGCAAAAAACAAAACAACACAACACACACACAGAAGCTAAAACTATTTATCTGTTTCTTTATATTTTTGTGACTTTTAAGTCACTCTCATGATTTCAAGGGGTCTGACTCATGACTTTTTAATGCTTTAGGCTGTCAGTAATAAACATCTATATTTCCTTTTTTAAAACAAAGATTAGAAATGAAATACTAGTACAAGCACAACTTGAATCAGAACTTAACAAAGAACAGTTTTTTAGGAAGATTTAAAACCTTGCCATTTAATTTTGCTCATAAAACTTTCTCTACTGGTATGTGAGTCAGCACCACCCTATCTTCTATAGCATTCCCATAGCCATCCATTTGCCCAGTAATCCTTTAATTGCCAAGGAGGGAGCCACTTGAAAGGGCATTATGAGATACAGAGTCCCCATTTTCATTGTCAGTCAAGCTAATAAAAAGGCACCTTGGAGAGTAAAGGTTGGATGTGAGACAAAACACTGCATTTTTACATTTTGGCTTTAGTTCAGCTTATCACAAAAGGCTACCTTGGGCAACCTTTCCTCATCATAATATGCAATCACTCACTTCAGTAGTGCCATTGATTTTTCTCTTGTAACTCACCAGCCTGAGGAACTGTGTTTCAGTATAGCTCAAAGCTCAGAAGACTACCTCACCGAACTTGGCACCCAATATACATACCCAACTAGAAGGCAAACTTTGTGCAGTTGACCTATGAGAATTGCCTCCAGCTGCATTTGTGAGTGGTCAGAAAGCATGGACAGCAAACTTAAATGCATTTTATCATAGCTTTGTGTTATGCCACTTCACAAAGTAAAGAGAGATGACTGAGTGGATTAATGAGGCACAGGTGCTGATTCCCAACACTTTGTGGCTACGCTAGTGTACTTCATGTCCTCACTTAATTTCATTAGAGCATTTTACTGACAGCAAATTTTTAACCCTCCTCCTGGAACCCATCCTGAATAGATAATGTGCCCTAGTTTAACAAGGTAAAATAAAGGGACTGTATCATCCGAAGCTCCTCAGACAAAAAAAAATAAAGATGAAGAAATGCAAAGAAAAGCCATTTTGCAGAAGTGACAGAATTCACAAAACACACACACACATGCGCGCACGCACACACACATTCCACTTCAGAAATATATATATACATAACAAAGATTAAATCCACATTTTATGCAAACAATTGTTAGATTGACGCAATGAAATTTTGCCAAAATTCACCCTTTCAGCATTGAAGCATTGCACAGAAACATACTATTCCCAGTGAAGGTTTTGCTGGGAAGGTGTTTTAGAACCATTTTTGGTCACATCTGACTTAAGAAAGATATTTTCAAAACAAAGAACCAGTCTTTACAATATGAAAGGAAAGACACGTCAGTGTAATTCTATTCCACAAAAACAACATTCAATAGGTTTTGTTTTCATTCCAAAACAGAACAAATACAAAATTTGAACCCTCAGAAGATGTCACGGAATAGAATTGCCATCTTCCCAACAGCTCTAGTAACAATAGCATATACAGTGGTTGTACTAAATATATTTCCCTTTGTCATGGTAACCTAATACTTCTCCTATACGGGGTCTCTCTATCTCTCTCTCCCCCTCCCGGCTTGAATTGTTTGATTAATTTTAAACATTGCATTACTCCATGATAAAGAAGATACCATGGTGATTTTCATCTTTTTCTATATCAAGAACGTATTTAAGTTTCCAAAACATTTTCCACTGTAACCCTCTATTTCTACATACTTTTAACTCTCTAACTGCCTGAAAGTATGAACTTTCCAATTCCTACCATCTCAAGTAAGCAATGCAGTCCTATTGAAAGTGCCAGACTACACTGCAAGATTGTTGATCTATCTAATCCAGTATTTTGTGCTTTACAGTAACCAGCAACAGATGCTTCAAGTATAGCTGCAGGATACACTGCATTAATAATTAAGCAGTAACCTGGCCCCAGGGAAAGTTTTTTTCCTAACTGTCTTTAGTTAGAGCTCACTTCAGTCCTGAAGCAGGAGAGTTTATATTCTTTCCAGAACTCTTGTTTATGTTCAGCATTACTGTTTACAACTCTACATAGTCTTCTGTTCCATATATAAACATCTACTCCTATTTTGAATCATGCCCTCAAGGATATGTGCATTACATATGTACACACTTACCAAGGAAAACTGCAGTTGCCAGGTAAAGTGTGCTAAAGTTACGGAATGCTACATCTGAGACTTTTAGGTATTAATAATTTAATTTTAGATTTAAGATTTAAAGTTGCTTATGCACTCAGCCCTCCCATATATATGCATGATGATATAGTCTTAAATCATGATAATACTTTCTAACCCCCACTGGATTTTCTCTCAGCAGGGGCCTGTATTAATGACAAAAGCAGCCCTGATTTGTTTCTTTCTTTTACTCTTGTGTTATTTTTTTTTCTTTTTCCTTTTGATTACTATTTATATTTAGGTACCACTGATGTATCCCCAGTCAGAGGCCAGGGAAACAATACATAGATGAATTCTTGATTAATATTAATGCCTAGATTTGGGGCTTTTCTTCACGTGAGGGTGTGTACAGCTCACTTCAACCTACATGAATGAAGAACAGGAGCAGTGTGTAGAGGAATTTGCCCTTGTCAGGAGCTGTGTGGGGCAACTAGTGTAAGTAATTTGAGATATGGGGAAGGGTGGGTGGGTGGGACGGGGCCAGAGCTAATGGGTCTTTGGGGGAGGGGATGTCTCTGTTCAGAAATGGGGGGATAAAAACAGCCCAGTCAGGGTTGGAGGTGGGGGGTAGGAAGAGCACAGCCCCAGGATTGGGGTAAGTGGCTGGGCCGTCCCAACCCCAGAGCTGCACTCTGAACCTGTATAGGTATTCAATAGATCAGGTTAACTTATTCCTGATCTAAGTTATTTCAGCTCCTCAGGTAAGCTAACTTAGGTTGGGCTCAACATTTTTTGGGCAATTTAAACCCTCCTGAATGCCTTCACAGATGGGCATTTAGATTGACCTAACCCTAGTTAGGCCAATCTAAATGTAACAGCTGCATGTACCCTGAGTATTTTATTTAAGGAACCACAGGATTTTTGTGACTGAGACAGACCTATTCTGATTCACACTACAATACTATCTGGAGTCTCCAAATGACTCAGGGTCCTTCCTATATCCAGTATTGTTCCTGTATGAGTGTTTCATTTCTCTCAGGTGAGTACAGTATCCTAATTTCTAGAGTCACTGTCGCTTTTGCTTTCTTTTCACAGCCTGGTGGAAACTTTTTTTCTGCATAGTGGAACAGCTCCCACTGGAGGGGTTGGGAATTCCCACTTCCCACCACAGAACAACTTAGAGCCTGGTAGATAAGATGTTCCTGAAAGGTGGGTGAACTGGGCTTGAATCCCAAATTGTGGAAGGTCCCCTGCATCTTGGGCAACTGCTCCAGCACCATCTGTCCCCTTTCATACAGTTACTGTACGAAAGGGGATAGCAGAAGCTCTTCCTCATGTACCTTATCAAGAAAAGAGTGACTCCCTGCTCCACCAGGGAAATAAAGAGCAGAGATTCCAGTCATAATGAGATGTCAGTACTATGGATCCCAAATAGAGGGATCCTTTCTGTGCATAAGGCCTTGAGTAGAATGAGATGTACATCACATCCCTGTACTCAGTATTTCCTCCTGGCTATCTCTACAGTGTGAAGCTCCTCATTCAGAGGAACCTATGTTCTCCTGTGCATTGTATAGAGAGAATGGCTACTGTACTCAGGTTCTGTATTCCAGTTCAGGAACCAGGTGCCTAAAAGTCAGGTATGGCAATGATCATTCTTACAACACATAAGACTCTATATCTTATGGATCTAGAAGCTTACAATAAAAACAGACAAAGGGTTGAATGGGATGCAGAGATGAGGTGAGTTCCTCAAGGTCACACACACAGTCGGCAGCAGAGATAAAAAATGAACCAAGTTTACCAGGTGGCTCACGCCATGCCCTTTCTACTAGACCTCAGAACTTCCTCAGAAACAGATGTGGGACAAGAACCTGATCTGGCACCTGCCTTCTCCACGTTCACATTGCCTTTTTTTGTTTCAATTACTCCATGCTGAAAAGAACTAGAGCCATACACAGATGATCCTATGCTAAGATCTTATACCACGAAGAAGCAAGAATGAATTCATACAAATTCCTGAAAATATTGGGGTTTCAATGAAGCCACTAATGAATCTGAATAGCATCAAACAGTACTGCCATCATCCCAAATTCACTAGGCAATAATTGACATAGAATCAGTTCTCATCACTCTCAGTTGCTGGCTAATCCATTTTACTCGTGTTTTATTTTATCACATCCACTGCAACTTTTCTAAGGATACAAAAGGGAATTATTTTAAAGCATCTTTTGATGTGCAGCGAAGTCAGCAGGGGAGAATGACCTGCATGGTGTAAGTCAGCAACATATTTTCTTGCCTTGCCCGTCGGCAAAACAGAGAAGACTTGCTGCTTGTATTAGTTACTGTGACAGCTCTGTGGCAAGCAGTTCAGCACTAAAGACAGACAAAGCTAAACCAGACAGTTGCCATAGTAGATTCTGAAACCTTGACGGGGCCTGATATGTAAACTTAGGCTGCCAACAGGCAGCACTTGTCGCCTGACACATTCGGACAACAGCATGTCACTCACCGCCTCTGCAGTTAAGTTTTACGCCAAAGGGCTCCCAGTGAGGTATGGAGATTTTGCAGTGGAATTCGGGAATTACCATCTTTCATAAAAAAGAAAAAAACTAAAAAAAAACCCTTATTCTTGGGCACTAGACTAACAAATGGAAGTACAGACTATGGTTGTGATTTGTTTATCTATACCAGGATCAATTTACAATGTAGCAGGCAGATCTAGGGCATAAATTGCAGGGCCAATGGCATTAATTATTTATCTACAAATATCTCACCTGTATTGTGCCCATTAAACCATCTCCTAGGACTTATAGCATTCCAAATCTATGAACAGTTTTAAAAAGCAACCTTAAAAAAAAAAAAAAACAGCAACCTGCTAGAGAAATGATTGTTTATTCTTGCCTCTAGCCCCAAATATGGAATTTGCAGTTGAAGTTGAAGATACAGAAACAAGCAATGTTCAATCATGAAGTGGAGAAAAATGTAGGGTATGCCTGCAGGATGTCCCCAGTACTTACGAGCATATCCCCATCCCTTCCTCTCTCCTCACCAACCCTGCCACTCTCAAACATGCCAGAGAACTTAAAAGCAGTAGTGGGGAGGAGGAAACAAACCCAAAAGACTCCCCTGCCTCATTTCTTAGTTTGGCATGTACGAGCAGAATTGGTTGAATGAAGCATGTTCCATAACACTGGGACTGTGGTATACATGTGGTCTTAAGGTGTAACACCATGCCATTCTTTGGGGCCAGAGATAAGATTATTATGGTATTAGAAAAAGGAGATCTATAACTTTCTAAGGGGTGTGCTTCAATCGATGCTAACCCTTGGACCAAGTCCAAATCCAGGGGTTGTGGTAGTGTAACATAACACCCAGTTTCTTTTTTTTTCCCTGATATAGCTAGAGATAGAGATATAAATATGCATTCCCTTCCCCAACTATATATGACTTGTCCTCTCCCTCTCTATTCCCTATAGATAATTATAAGTAAGCTAAGATATAGGATAAGCATTAACATTTTATTTTAGGTCATAAGTTTTATTTTTCTGTCCCCTCTTTGCAAATCATAGTTTCATAGTTGGTAGGGTCAGAAGGAACCTGAGCAGATCATCAAGTCTGACCCCCTGCCACAGTAGGAAAAAGTACTGGGTTCAAACGACCCCAGCAAGGTGTTTGTCTAACCTCCTCTTAAGGCCCCCCAGGTTAGAAGACACCACCACTTCTCTTGGAAGTTGGTTCCAGATCCTAGCTGCCCTGACAGTGAAGTAACGCCTCCTGATCAGTGTCCTGCTATTTCGAGATAGATATCCACTGTTTTATAAGTGATAATTATTATGTTTGTGTTGATTTTTTTTACTGCTTTACTGCTTTTATATTGTGTGATTACTGTTTTAGGCCTATATATGTAAGTTAGCATAAGTCATGTCAAGTTTCCATCTTGTAATGTCAAGCCTCCATCTTATCCTCATGCCCAGTTGTATAACCTATGACTCATACCTACCCCTCCTATGTAACTTGGTTCCTGAATGAATGGGGATGAATGCGGGTGCTTGAGAGACAATGGCAGTAGGTCTAAAAATAGCTCCCTCTGAATGACCGAACCATCCACCTCAATCCCTGGACCAGCACCCCAGCCATTGGAACCACCCTCAGCATTCAAGAAACAAAAGATGAGGCAACCCACCATTGTGTCAAGGCTGCACATGCTCAGTATGAACATCTGGAGCCCTCTGGGACAGGACTGACCTTGCCTGGACAGGCCCTCCCATAGGAGATCAGAGGTAGTCTGCCCCATAAAAAGGGGTAGTGAAGACTGGCTTCATAGGAATGCCATTTCCATCTGGACCAGACCAGCTCCACATCATACCGCCTATCCACCCGAGAGGCCCTGCCGGCGACCCCCTCTGAACAACACCAAGCTGAAAGAGACTCCGACTAGCCATCAAGAATCCACTTTCAGCCTGGGATAGGTAGATATCACCTGCATATTTCCTCCTCCAATTTGGACTCTGTCTCTCTCCTCCCAGACTTCAGCCCCTCCACCAACCCTCTTTAACCCCTGCTGCCATTGTCTCTGTGCGTGCATGCGTGTGTGCGTGCGTGCGTGTGCACGCGCACGCAAAGGAACCAATAAAATATTGTGTCACCATCTCCCCTGTTCAATAAAACCACTATCATTTGTAACCCTGAGTTGGGTTGTATTTTACTGAGCCCCGGTCCCATCCCCAACTTAAATTCTGGTCTCTCTCTCTCTTCCTCTCAGCTCTCAGCCCTGTTGCTTTCTGCAGACTCTCAACCCTGCTCCCGCCACTTTTTGCCTCTTACCAATCCTTATCTCTCTCTGCCTTCTCTTACTCTCTCTCTTTCTGTGTTCTCCAACCTCCCCCCACAGCCAGTTTTCCTCTCCCCACGTACCTCTTGGCTTCCCTGTAGCCTCCTTGCTCTGGCTCCAGCCTCCGGGCTTCTCCTCGGCATTGCTCCTTTGCTCTGTCGGCTTTCTACTTGCAATTAACACCAATTAACCTTAAGTTACTCTAACTGCCCTCCAGTAGTATGCTGGTTCTAATCCCAGCACCGGCATCTTTCATCTCAGTCTCCACCAGCAGTAACCCCAAGCCTCAGCTCCTCAGCCTAGCTCTCTCTAGTCTACCAGTTCTAATCCCGATCCTGGCAACTTTCACCCCCTACACTTTCACTCTCTCTCTTACCTTAACTTTCCCCCAGGTATCCCAAGTACACCAAGCACATACATACACACCACCCGTATGGAACTCACCTGTGTGTATGTGTAGGTGAGTGGTATGTATGTGAACTGATATACATGTATGTTACTGTGTGCATGTGTACTGTGATCACAAATTAGTGATCCGTGTATGTGTACTGGGTGTGCAGGTATTAGTCATTGATCCTGGTCTAATTTGTTCTGGTGTGTAAGTGCTTGAATTGGTGATAGGTGTGCATTTGCCTAGGCTGGTAATTTTGGATGTGCATGTGGCCTGAATTGGTAGTGTGTGTGCACACCTGGTGGGGGTGCATGAACCTAGTGTGTGCATGTGCCTAGTGTGTGTATGCACCTATATGATTTTTGAGTGTGTGCATGTGCACATGTGTGCATATGAGTGTATACATGTGTGCACGTGCACCCTCCTGTCTAACATCGCAATATTGAGATCCTGAGAGTTGGCCTGACCCCACAGGGCAACAGTAAAAGTTTTAATTTAAAGAGTCCCTAATTTAGAAGAATTTGGAAGTGGGAGATTGTCCCTCAGTTAGGTAGTAGCAGTTAGTTAAAGAGATGGACAAAGGGTGTGCAGAGGTTTCCTACTTCTCCACAGAAAAGTTTGTTTAGTTCTTCTCATTCATGTATACCTACATTTACTGAGCCTGGTGATTACTATGCTAGATTCTGCCTGAAATCTAGGCAGCTCATCATAACTGAGGCAATGGCACACAAGAGAGTGGTAAGATCATCTTATCAACCACCTTTATTTCCCCACCCGAATAAGCCATTACCCACTCACTAGGGGGCAGCCTTTGGCATAAGTCTGAAATGATGTTTGTAGTCATGCCTCTGAAATCTTGACAGGGCCTGATATGTAAGCTCAGGCTGCAAAATAGCTTCACTATTGTGTTATCACACTTTGTGATACAGACCTTTTAAAATTAGGCAGTTTTTATGAACAGAAAAGCTCTTTTGAAAATCTTGCCACATTTGTGGTTGCTGACAGCTGCTTGCCTTTTTCTGCATGGCCTGGTGCAGTACATGGATTCATGGAGTTTAAGACTGCAGGAGACCAATAACACCATTCAGCATAACATAGTCCATAGAGTTTCATCAATTATTTGTGCATCAAAAGCTGTTCTATTTCCCTTTGAATGCCCAAATGACAATTTTCCAGCTGTGTAAGTGCCATTTTTTTTACATTTACGCACAGTTTGCGATTCCATTACCTGTGCAGCATAGACATGACAGGGTATGTGTATATATATACTAAGTGTGCTTAGTAGGCTATACATCAGCTAAGCACATACATAGCTATTGTACATACACCCAATGTATATGTGTAAGTCACACAAAATTATAGCCAGGTAAAAAACAACAAATGGCTGGAAGAGAGTCTTCCTATGTTTTAGCCCCAATAGCTCACCTAGGAAGCAGGATTGCTCAGTTCCTAGCTATAATTAAGTCACTCACCTAGCTTCCTTGAGGTCATTCAGTTCCATAGTCAGGTTTATGGACTTTTTAGTCTACTCATGTAACCTTGTCCTCACAGTAAAAGAAAACTACAGAACAAGAAAATATGCAAATGAACAAACAAAACCAAAAAGCTGTTGTCTTTCTTCAGACCCATTACATATGGAAGGTATTACAAATACTCAGAGCTTCCCCTGACACCACACCTCCCCTCTTCTTCCGTTTCCCACCCTGCTTCTACAGACTTTAATCCTCTTTGTGATTCTGCCCTAGCTCCCACATCAGTTGCAGGTGCTATCAGCCTTCCAAGGAGGCAGACTCTTACTCGCTGGCTACCTGAACCTGGGTCTCAGACTGAGAACTTCTTATACCGGACTTCTTCCCCAGGGGGAGGGTTTGAACAAGCATTTTTCCAACTTCCTAAAAGAGAATTATAACTAGGGTTACCATATTCCCAGTTTCAAAAAAGAGGATATCTGTGGGGGGGGAAAGGAGGAGGAGAAGGGGTATATGATTATGGGGGGACAGTGATATGCCCATGCCCTGCCTCTGCCCCTTACTGCTAAGCCACAGGCCCCTAGCTCTGCTTCTGCCTCTCATTCCTGACCCACTGTACCACCCCCCCAGACTATGCTGATGCCCCTCACTCCCAACCTGTGATTGCCCCTGTCCCTACTGATACCCCTCACTCCCAACCTGCAGCCCCCTGCCCTCCCCCAGCCCTGCTGCCCATGCAGCTCACTCAATTTCTGTCTCTGTCTCTCTCTCTTACCTGCCTGCAGCTGCAGGGCCCGCACGCAGAGCATGTGATCCCCAGTCCTCACTGCACCTAGACCCAAGCATCCAAGCTGGAAGTGCTGGGAAAAAGCAGAGGCAGAGCAAAAACCTGGACATTTGCTTGCATTTCAAAAACCTGCCCTTAACGAGGACAGAGGACCAAACAAGATGACATGTCCAGGAAAACCTGGACATATGGTAACCCTAGTTATAACCTCCATGCCACAGTTTCAACATTATCCAGTGTCTTTTCAATTGTTTTTTTTGAAGCTGAGCTCTGAGCAGCAAAGGAAAGGAGATATGTAATGCCAAGAAGAAGAGCACAACATGGAATGTGTGCGACTCAGTGAGGTTGATACAGCTTTTGTAGCAAAACCCTCAGTTTTTCTTTTTCTTTTTTTTTAAATACATTCCCTCTCCTTCCCCAGCCATTTCTGACTTTCTCTCTGCCCTCTCTATCCCTTATAACTGATTAAAAGTAGTACTAGGTAAGCTAAGCTAAGTTTTTGTATGCTATTATTGCAATAAGCCCCATTTTTATATTGTAAATAATGTTCTATGTTTGTATTGATTTTTCCTGTTTTATATTGTATTATATTGTATTCCTATCATTTTTTTGTATTGATTTTTATTGTTTCATATGAATATTCTATGGTTTAGGCCTGTGTCGGTAAAGTGATGTCAAGTTTTCATTTTGTATGTCAAGCCTCCATCTTGTGTCCTCTGCCTGGGTATAACCTATGTTGTAACTGTGAAACATGTCTAACCAGTCTCATGTAAATTGGTTCTTGAATAACTGGGGATGAATAAAGGTGCTTGAGATACAATGGTAGCAGGCCTCTACTGAATAATCAGCTCAAGGACTGGCCCACTGCCTTGCATTGACTCACCCAGGAACCACGGACCTCACCCAGGAACAGAACAGAAACCCAGCATTTGAAAGACAAAGACCCTACAGAAACTAGCAACCCCACCATTGTATCCTACCAGACAATGAGGACACC